GTAATACTGGGAAACTGGAGTGTCTAAGGAGATTGCTTGTGAGACTTGCGGTTAGCCAGTGGGGGTGAGACCGAAGTCCATCTAGTCTGGCTGGTTTGGTTTGGCTTAGAGGTGGAAAAACCCCAGCCTTGGGCTGTAACTGCCCTGTTTGAGCAATTTGTCCTGAGTTGGCACTCTCAGTTGGGTTCCGCCAGAACCACATTGTCACAGACGGTCTGCACTGGGAGATGGGAGACTGGTCTTGAGGGAGGATACCTGAGCATGTAATGTGAGAACCCAGGAGGAGGGTGAGGCCAGGTGACACCTTTGCCCGGGAAACTGGACAAAGGCTGGGGAAGGAGACGAGGGTGAGTTTCAGGAGCTGGCTGATGGAATGGAGGGGAGCCCAAACGGGGCTCTGACCCCCCCAATGGGTCACCTAACTGGGGGGGTGGGGTCCTGTTGTCTGTGCCTGCAAGACCTGTCTTGGACTGTATTCCTGTCGTCTAAATAAACCTTCTGCTTTACTGGCTGGCTGAAAGTCATGGTGAATTGCAGGAAGCCGGGGGTACAGGGCCCTGAGTCCCCCATACTCTGTGACACACAACAACAGCGTAGGGCTGGTCGGGGGGGAAGGGGGGTGCACGTGCCGTTCCCCACACTGCGCCCCCCAGCAATCCCATCTCAGGGGGATCTGCCCCACGGCCCATCTAGCCTGGTATCCCGCCCCTGCCTGCCTCTTCCCAGCGCCCCGGCTGCCCCACACACGGGAGTCCCACCCCTGGGCAGGCAGAGGCCGGTGGCAGGACCGTTCCTAAGTGGGTGCACGGCCCAAAAACCCCCTCATGTCCCAAGGCCCACCCCACCTCTCCCTGCCCCCATTCTGCCCTGCCCCCTCCTCTCCCAATTAATGCCGGGAGCCGTCCAAATGGGGCAGAGCAGAGCTGCCACCAGCCCCTGCGTCACCCAGGCCCCACATCCCCCTGAAGCGAGGTGGCCCCCCAAAGCACAGGGCCAGGGTCGACCGCAGCTGGTCTGCCCATCCATCCCCCGCAGCACCAAGCACCCGCGGCCCTTCTGGTACCTTCAGTTTCTGATCCATCATCTTGCCCTGCTCCTCCAGCAGCTTCTTCCGCTCATCCTCCAGCTTCGTCTCCAGCTGCCACAGGTTCTCCTGGTAGCTGCGGTCCTGGTCCTCCAGCTTCTGCTGCAACTCAGCCTCCTTCTGCTTCAGGACCTGCTGCTCCCGCTCGGCCGCCTCGGCCCGGGCTCGCTCGGCTGGCACGGGGAGAGAGAGGTGGGTCAGCATGGGGAGGGCCATGGTGACTCTGCCCACCAGGGCTGCAGCCTAGGTACCTTCTCCCCCGCCCCAGCGGCGTAATGTCCCCCCAGTGATACCTGCCATCTCCTTCTCCTTCTCCGTCAGGGCCTCGTCCGTCTGCAGGATGGACTGGGCCACAGCCTCCTTGGACTGGAGGAACTCCTGCAGCGCCGCGTCGGCCTGGGGATGGAGAGTGGGAGCCACCGGGTCAGGGGGGTTTGTCGCACGGAGCCGGATCCGGGTCGGGATTCTGGATCGTGGCACCGGAGAGTAACGGGACTGGCTGGCTTGGAGGGGGGTGGGTGCTGGGACGCAGGCCTTTCCCCTCTAGGGGGCGCCAGTTCCCATCCAGCCCCAGAGTCACCATTTGGTTTCCACTCGACACCCTCGGTGCCTGTTCCGGATGAGCTGGGGGCTGAACCCGGTTTTTAACAGGACAAATGGCCTCATCACGCAGGCACTAACAGGGCCCCCCCCAGCAGAGCGGCCGAGGGCTGGAGGGGCCACGGGAACCAGACACCCCGGCACGTTGGCAGTCGGGAGGGCTGTGAGGGTGGGGTCGGCTCACACCCTGATGCTGCCCCCGCTCTGGGGAGGATCCAGGAACTGCTCAGGTGCCTGGTTCTCAGCAGGGCTTCCCGGGCTGCACAATGAGGGGGCACAAAGACGCACAGAGCCGGGCACCAGCCCTCTCCTACCTTTACCCCCTTCTCCGGCACCTGCCGGTATCTGTCCACCATGCGCTGCCGGTCGTCCAGGAAGCGCTGGTAGCCCCCGGGCACTGAGTAGACCCCCTCGCCGATCCGGTCATCCAGCTCCTGCGACAGCTCCAGCAGGGCGGCCATGCACCGGTCCGAGGACGCCACCTCATTGCGCCGGCAGAGCTCCTGTTTCTGCTCCTCCAAGCGGCGCTGCCAGGTTGGGCACAGAAAGGGGAGGCCTGAGCCAGGGTGGGGGGGGTGCAGATGGGGCAGGGGTACGAGCCATGACAGGGCCTGAATGGGGCAGGTGTGTGAGCCGTTCCACATGCGCCTGGGGCAGGAGATTGGGCCGGGTCCCCTTGGCCTGGCATCTTGGGTCCCCAGCTAAGCAAGGCCGAGTGTGACACTGCCCCCCATATTCTTCAGTGATATGATGGTGATACGAGTCTGGCATCGTTTTGGTGTATTTTATGCAAGTTCAGGCATGTGCGTGATCATTGGAAAAGTGAGAATTTGCTGAATACCGTTATCCTAGGTGTGTGCGTGGAGCATTTTTGTATGTGAAGTTACGAATACTGACCATGTGTCTGTATTTCGAATGTCGTTACACCTGGGGAACGCCCACTGGACACGATGTTTTCAGTCTAGATAGCGGGTGGGGAATGGCCTGTTCAGGGCAATGGGCCATTAGGAAAGAACAACAGGCCTTAGGAGAAGCTCATCTCCCACCTGGGGAGCCTCCCTGAGAACCCCACACACAGCCTGTGAGTGACGCTGCTGTGACGCGACAGGGACATGCAATGAGACCACATGACTCCAGCCTCCATCTTGGGGTGTCAGTATTTTGCCACAACCCGGTCTGGGAACCAGGTTTTGGAACAAAGGGCTCCCGCCAGATGCTAAAGCTGTATGAAGTGGGGAGTGACGTTGTGACGAACTGGGACTGTTCTTACTGTGGTCTGTGAATGCTGACAGGGGAGTGTGGCTAGGATAGTCTGCACTGGGGGATGGGAGACTGACCGAAGGCGAATACCTGGGCGTATAACATGAACCCAGGAAGGGGTTGGAGGCCAGGTGACACCTTGGCCCGGGAAACTGAACAAAGGCTGTGGGAGGGGTCGCTGAAGGCAGAGTCTTGGAAGCTGGGTGGTGAGATGGCAGGGAGGGAGAGATTGCTCTGACCTCCCAAAGGGGGGGGCTGGGATGCCCTGGGACCCCCAGATGGACCTAACTGAGGGGGGCACTGTTGTCTGTGCCTGCAAGACCTGTCTTGGACTGTATTCCTGTCATCCAAATAACTTCTGCTTTACTGGCTGGCTGAGAGTCATGGTGAATCGCAGGAAGCCGGGGGTGCAGGGCCCTGAGTTCCCCAATACTCCGTGACAACTGGTGGCAGCGGTGGGATCTACTGCACCCCGTGGACGGCGCTTCCTGCAGTAAGTGACTGGGGAGCAGTAAAACGAAGGGGGATTGACAGGGACCAGGCGTGCTGAAGAGTGAGAGAGAGACGGTTATTACCCCTGGGAGTGTGTGACCAGCGAGAAGGACTTTTGCAGTAACAGGGTCCCCCGGGGGGATCGCAGCGAGTGGTCCCGGGGGCGGAAGAGTCTGCAGCTCGACCCTGGCGGAGAGGTGGTTCACTCGAGAAGGTCTGGCTCACT